ACAATATCTCTTCTCACATACTTCATTCATTTTGAGGTAAAGCGTCAATAAATTAATTCAACACACATTTACTTTTCACTGCTCATGTTCTTTGAACTCTGAACAGTCTACTGGTATTCTTTTGAAGTAATATGGTTGATTATGGTATTTACGTTATGTTCAAACCGCTGTCGTTAGTATTTTGTAAAAGGACAGGAAAGAGTGGAAGAATTTGTAGCTAATAAGCATAACAGTAATATCGTCTCAGTGCTGGATGATTAACTGCTTGTTCCAGGAAAGAGGTTATTGTATTTTGTGTAGTTCTGTTTGATATAGACTTTAATAGGTTTGTAAGGGCTTCATGTATGTGGCTACCTAGCATATCTATAGAGATTTTTTTTGTGTGTTATATGGTATACCTTCTTCATTAATGGTATATATGTATATATGCCGACCTCATTTAGGTATTTTTGTTGCAGGTGTTATTTGTCGTTGTATTTATTTATGCCTTTATTAAAAAATTATGAAACCAAATAGAAAAATGATATGAAAAATAGATTTGAGGAAGCAGAATGACATAAAAAGAGAAATATGTAGCTAGAAACACACACACACACACACACACACACACACACACACACACACACACACACACACACACACACACACACACACACACACACACACACACACACACACACGTACACAAAAACAGACATACGCACGTAATCTAACATTACTTTTCCCCACTTTTCGGTAAATATTCGGAATGCCTTCGCATGACCCAACAGGAAGATATTATATCGATGGATTCCTCTCTCCTTCTGCTCCTCAAATATGCAGGAATCATACCGCAGATTCCACCCCCACCCCCCCACCCCCCTACCCAAATCTTGGCCCGATAGCATGGGAGGGCACGAATGGTACCATGGAAATTGCGGGGTTTAATATGCCATGAGGTCAGTATGTCAGTGTAGGAGATTGGACTGACTCGTACCGGGGCTCCAGCATGTCGGTCGTACACTCTCTCTCCTGCCTGTGAATACGTGGAGGATTCTTTGTTTTCATTTGAAGACAGTAAGGATTCTTTGTTTTCCGTTGGATATGTGGAGGATTCTTTGATTTCCTTTGAAGACAGTAAGGATTCTTTGATTTTCTTTGATTTCCTTTGAAGACTAAGGATTCTTTGTTTTCATTTGAGTACGTGAAGGATTCTTTGATTTCCTTTGAAGACAGTAAGGATTCTTTGTTTTCATTTGGATACGTGGAGGATTCTTTGTTTTCCGTTTGAAGACAGTGAGGATTCTTTGTTTTCATTTGGATGCGGGAAGGATTCTTTGTTTTCGTTTGAAGACTAAGGATTCTTTGTTTTCCGTTGGATATGTGGAGGATTCTTTGATTTTCTTTGAAGACAGTAAGGATTCTTTGTTTTCATTTGGATATAGGAGGATTCTTTGATTTTCTTTGAAGACAGTAAGGATTCCTTGTTTTCCGTTGGATATGTGGAGGATTCTTTGTTTTCGTTTGAAGACAGTAAGGATTCTTTGTTTTCCGTTGGATATAGGAGGATTCTTTGATTTCCTTTGAAGATTAAGGATTCTTTGTTTTCCTTTGAAGACAGTAAGGATTCCTTGTTTTCCGTTGGATATAGGAGGATTCTTTGATTTCCTTTGAAGATTAAGGATTCTTTGTTTTCCGTTGGATATGTGGAGGATTCTTTGTCTTTCTTTGGATACATGAAGGATTCTTTGTCTTTCTTTGCGGGGGTTGGGCGCGACAGGAAGGGGAGGGGGGGGCGTATCAGGGACATAAGCCCCTTCATTAGACACTAGAGTGACTAATTCTTTGTATATTATTCTTATTTTTACCCTGCGATTATCCTGGTCCATCTCTACCTTCTTATGCATATAATATCGATACAATGCATACCCCTCTTTTCATATTTTTCCCACTGATCTAATATTTCATTTTCATCTGTCTTTCTTTAATTTTTTTACCAGCAACCAATCTGATATTACATTTCCATTATTCTTTCTTTTCTTCCCCATCAATCAGTCTAATATTAAATATGCATCTTACTTTCTTTCCTTTTTCCCATCTTTCATTATTCTTCCTTTCTCCCCCACCAAAAATCTAATATTACAATCTCATCTTTCTATCATTTTTTCCCCATTTTTTATTCTTCTTCCTTTCCCCCCCAACCAATGCTAATATTACATATTCATTTCTTTCCTCCTTTATTCCATTTTTGATAATTTCATTTTTTCCCCACCAACTCTAATTACATATTCATCTTTCTTTCCTCCTTTTTTCCCATTTTTGATTATTTCATTTTTTCCCCCACCAACCAATCTAATATTACATACTCATCATCTCCTCTTCCCCCCTCCCCCCCAGGTATTTGACTTCTTCACGACGTATTTGGACAACGGAGAGGTGTCGGGGTTCGTCGGGGACATCGTGTCGACGCTCATGAAGACGCACAATTTTTACCGTGAGTTTGGGTCCGTTTTGGGAGCTTGGTGGGTTGGGGGGGGGAGGGGGAGGGATGATGGTGATGGTTATTGTTGTTGTTGCTGTTATTTTTGTTATTGTTGTTGTATTTCAATAATATGGAAAGATAGATACGCACACGCATGCACACGCAAACACGCACATAGACACGGACACGCACACACTATCCCTTCAACACACAAACCAAACTTGGTTTTCTTTTAGCCTATTACCTCACAAGAAAAGGGTAAATAAGTGGAAAAATAACAATTATTAGGATTTGTAATTTTTGTCTAAAAAAAAAAAAAAAAAAAAAAAAAAATCCAGATCACTATTTTTTGCCTAACCTACAAGAAAAGAAATAAATAATAATTTTTAGCCTAACCTACAAAAAACTTAATTTATTTATTTATTTATTTTTTAGCCTAACCTACAAGAAACTCGAAGGTTACGCCTACGGCAAAGTGGTCGAAGGAACGACCAACGACTGGACGGGCATGGTAGGAGAGTTACAAAACAGGCGCGCGGATCTCACTGTGTCCGAGCTCTCCGTCACCAAAGAGCGCAATGACGTCATCACTTACACGCAGCCTATTTATATCGTGAGGTGAGTTGCCGAGACTCCTTTTATTTTCGTTATTATTTTCATTTTTGTTATTGTTGTTATTAATTAATTCATAAGTTGTTTATAAGTTTCTTTATTCATCAGTTTATCGTTCTATCTATTTATTTATTTGTCTGTTTAACTATCCCTTCACCTATATGTCTAATTATATATTTATTTGTTTATTTATCTGTCTGTCTATTCATATATTTATCTGTTTATATATCTGTCTGTCTCTTCCTTCATTTATCTATCAACTATTTATTCATTCATTTTCCTACTTTTTATTAATTTCCCTACTATTAGTTTATTAATATATCTTCATTTTCCCACGGTACATTAAACTATTTGTTTATCTACCCATGTATATATATATATATATATATATATATATATATATATATATATATTATATATATATATATATATATATATATTTTTTTTTTTTTTTTTTTTTTTTTTTTTTTTTTTTTTTTTTTTTTTTTTTAAGCTGTTAGGTCTTCGTTACTGTTATTACCAATAACAGATTTGTTATACAAATAGATTGATATATATACAGAAATATCTAAATGATATAGATATGATTTTGATGATGATAATTTTGCGAAAGACAATGGCAATAATTAAAAAAGTGATAACAATGATGAATAAAAAGTAATGAGGAGACCATCTCATCCTACCCTCCCCCCAAAAAAAAAAAAAAAAACCCTTCCTCCCAAACAATTCCCGCTTCCCTCCCCCTCCCCCCGCCGCTAATCTACCATCTACCCTCCTCTCCCCTCCCCTCCCCCCTTCTACCATCTTTCTATCTACCCCCTCCTCCCAAACAATCACCCCTCTCCTTCCCTCCCTCTACCACTACTCCCTCCCCCTCCCTCCTCCCTCCCCCCAAAGCATTCACCCCCCCCCTTTCCTTCCCTCCCCCCTTACCATTCTACGTGCTCTCCCCCCCTCCCCCCTACCATCTACCCTTCCCTCCTCTCCATCTCCCCATAATACAATTAAACAACCCCATCGTAAGCGCGCGTGCAACGATCTAAAGTAAAAAAAACACCAAAGAAACGGACAGAATAAGAGGCCGTACTCCTCAATACACAAACCGGGAAAATATGAAAGAAAAAATGACATAACACACAGCAAACACATCGACCACACTAGACCTGCATCCTCCTTCCACCTCCCTCACCTACACCCGAAAAAGAAAAAAAAGAAAAAAGAAAAAAAAGAGCAAAAAAGAAAAGAAAAAGAAAAAAAAAAAAGAAAAAGAAAAAAAAAAAAAAAAAAAAGAAAAAGAAAAGAAAAAGAATANCCTCCCCTCCCCCTCTACCATATACCCCTCCTTCCCTCTCCTGTCTACCCTCCTTCCCTCCTCTCTCCTCCACCCCTTCACCCCTCCCTCTCTCCCCTCTCCCCTCCCCTCCTTCCCCCCCACCCATCCCAGTCGAAAGCTCTTCGTCGCGACCCAGGAGGACTTCCAGAAGAAGCTCCTGGCCTACACGTCCCCCATGGAAATGGTGCTGTACTGGGCTATCCTCGTCACCATGATGGGGCTGGCGGTCTTCCTCGTCTTCGTCGAGAGGTTGAGGAAGTACTTGCTTCCCCACGAGGAGCTGGGGGGGTTGGGCAGCCTGGGCACGGCGACGTGGTGCATGGTGTCGGCGCTGCTGCAGCAGGGTGGTGGCGTGGCTGTGTTGTTGCTGTTGCTGTTGTTGTTGTTGTAATAGTTATTTTGTTATTTTGTTGTTATTTTATTGTTATTATTATTATTATTATTATTATTATTATTGTTATTATTATTATTATTATTGTCATCAGTATCATTATGATAATAATGAAGATAATAATAATAATCATCATAATCTTAATTATAATGATGATAACAATAATGATAATATGATAATAACAGTGATGATTATAATATATT